ATGCGTGTGATACGTGTAAAAAGAAAATAAAAATTTTTTAAAAAGAAAAAGGAGAAAAGGAATAAAAGAGAGAAAAATAAATAAGTTATTTATTTTACAATTTGTTTATTTTACAATTTGTTTCATCGCTTCTTTGTTGTTAGTAGATATAAACAGAGTAAGGAGAGGGGGAGGGTCCAACGATTAAGATAATTCTCAACTATTTGTTTTTTTTTGCAGCTTTTATCGGAGAATTAATTCCATGGAATTATATGTTATACTATTTCATGCAGAAATTTCTGTTTGTAATATTATGTAAATATTTAAACCTGTTTTTCAAAAAACATGATTAATTTGTATTTTTAGGTTGTTTTCCACCCAGAATTTCTCGTTTCTGTTTCGCCTCTTATTGGACTAGATTAGGAAGAGTTTGTTCGTGGGTGTCAGTTGGGGTATTTTCTTCTTATTATGAACCGTGGAGGGTGGGGGCATACACCCGGTAATTATTTTTCTTGTATTAAAATGATGTACAAAGGACCTCGCTATACATATATATGAAGAAGTATGGTTCGGTTGAAAAGAAAGATAAATTGTCTTTTTTGGTTCGAGGTTTCAAAATTTTTTTCGTATCGGGTTAGGATTTCAGGTCGAAAAGAGCTCGGTAAGCATTGATTGACTAAGAGATGCATTAACTAAATAAAGCCTTGTTTGTATAATTCAACCCTTACCTGATACATAATCATTTTTTAACATTTATTATAATTATAATCTTGCTATTCCTAATCCTTATATGACGGTATATTTAATTCATCATCTCTTCTATACCAATACCAGGGATCCTGCTAAAAAACCAAAATTCCCGATTTCGGGAAATCGGGATTCCTAAGAAAAATAAATTCGTGATCTCTGAATCGGGATTCCGACCCAAGAAACGTCGGAGTGTTTTTTTGACGAGGTCAATATTGGACATGGATGCTAAGATATGTGATCTAGTATGAACAAGTAAATGTAATAGAAAGTCTACCATAAATATTCGAGGGATTATTTTTATTATGACTTATTATATTAACAGTTATATCGAGGGACTCTGGATGATTGAAAGTGATACTTGGAAAATAAGAAGGATAACAAAAGAGGATTTGAGGAGGTATCGAAGTAGGTACCAATTTTTTTTAACGGATATCAAACCTTCAAGTAGAGTATTCAAGTAGAGCGATTAGAAGTAATTAAAAGAATATTCGGGCGTATATTTATGTTCTATAAGATTTTAGTTATAATATTTTTAAAAGTTGAAAAAATCGATCAGAATTAATGTTGGTATGTATATGCTCATGTATATCCTAAGCACTACTATATACATGTGCGCACTATATTTACCCCTATATACAGTGAAAAAATGATAAAAATAAATATTTTTCCCTTAATTCCGCAATTTTACCCCTAAAATTGTAATTTTCTTTTCCTTAATTCCGCACTTTACACTTAATATTGCAATTACGTTTTTAAAATTTGTAACCTATTTTCCTTAATTATGCGATTTTACCCCTAAAATTGTAAACCTATTTTCGTTAATTCTGTAATTTATTTTATCTTAATTTTTCTTAATATTGTATTTTTTAAACAACATATTATAGAATTTTTATCACGAATAAAAATTAAATACAATGTGTAAATAAATAGAAATAAAAATATAATGAATATAAAAAGGGAAGGAGAATGGCTTCGCCATTCGACAGACATCACCAAACTCAACCAGGGACATGAGAATTTACTCAAGTCCGCTACCACCGATTTTCAATGTGAGGATTACCTCACAACATACGATAGTTGGTATAGAATTTGGGTGCCCATACCCCTGGCTACTTTCCAACTCCAAGTTAATTTGGGGAAAAATTACAAATTGATAAATCCAAAGTCCAATACAGAAAAATCAGAAGGGCGGATTACTCCCTTTCCGACGTGGGGCTTATAATTTTTCTTAAGAGGTAAAGTGGTAACAGATCCATCTATAACAGATGGACGTAAAAAATTGGGATACAAAATAGTAATAGGGTCATAATCACCTTTAACAAAATTGAAAATCTTTTCTTTAAAAGCTTCGTACCGCATTCCTTGATTGATTATTGCATCCCAGTTGAGAGTGATACCGCGCACCTTGAGAACGTAGACTGGTTCACTGTTGGGCTCATCCTTCTTTTCCATCTTCAGTCCATATTGCTTTGCGCCACCAGAGCAAAATTCCAAAATGTTGAAGTCAGGGTACTCATCTGTGAATTCACCCAGATGAGGACCTAATTGAAGAGGGCAGTTGTCAATCGGGTGAGAAAAAATTAAGGAGTCGGTGTCGGTGTAAAGCAATTTGCAATCAGGAGTTCTCACAACCTGTTGCATGGCGTGTAGCAAGTGAATTCTTGCTGCTGATGTGGTCCACAACGAGATGATGACATTTGATGAGTCATGTTCTTCCACAAATTCCTTCTTTTTGCTGTATGAAATAAGAAGTACATCCTCAGTTAGTCCCTCTACTGTATCAATAATAATTGAAGGGTCGTTTGAATATTTGATGTACATAGCAGGGTCGTCCGTAACTACACATTGAGATAATCCAAAGTTACGGAGAGAGAAACGACCCCATAAGTTGTTTAAGCATAATTTGGCTTGCGTCCTCTTTCCTTTATTGACCTTCATTTTCTCCTTGTCGATGATGATTCCAAACTTTTCCTTACATTCTTTGATGAAGTCCTCTTCCTTCTGTTGATCTCCTTTGATGTCGTTGTCAAAGCCGCTGGCGTGAATTTTTTGTGCCATAAATTCACGAATATAAGGACGAAAAAGATTGTCGTCGTAGTTTTTATATTCCAAAACGCGAAATACTTTGGTGACTACATATCCTTCTTTCAATGCCTCGTTTAACTCAATTGATGTACATGTTGAGACCCATCCACGTTGTTGGTTTGTGTGTTTGCAAGTGTAGTTCTCATTCACATCCCCATTTGGATGTTCCTTTGCACAAGTGGAGCAAAGGGGGAATAGAAGTCTTTCATCGTCGTCTCCGATTTTCATAGGTAGGACTGGGATGTCGATGCTGCGCGGAGGTATTACAAAAACTTTTAGAAGAGCCAGTTCATAAGTGTTGTCAGAGGGTTGAGTCCAGTTGACGTCGTTATTTAGAATATGGACCTCGGGGTGACCAATTGGGTAGCGTGTTGTCATATTGATGAAGGGGTACAAGGAGGTCACATCATAATAGGAAATTTTTTGCCCCTCCCCCGTTTTATGGAATAGTTTTAGTGGTCCGGTTCTCCCCCCAAAGAAAGCCGATCGAATATCGATCGGTCCATTGTCCAAATAATTTTTAAACCTTAGCCTCATGACCCTATCCCTTGAAAGCATCCCCCTGATGTCACACTCCCAATAAACTTCCACGTTTACCCCAAAACTCTCAATAAATTCTAAACGCCTTTCATCCTTTTCTCTTTGCTTCCCTGCTGTAACCCCATTGGGAAGTTTTATTTCATCATAAGGGAAACATTTTCTACAACCATGCCAACAGCATCCATTAATCTCTAACACCAATTTCCTTTCTTCTACCCACCCATCTACCCTATAATCCCCAAATCTCTTTTCCCCTCCTTTAGAATAAGCATTACGTATGTTGACATTGTGTTCTTCAGCATACCAGGCAAGGAATCGAAGAGCAAGCAAACTTTGGGTGTCTGTGTTGTCATATCCAATCTCAGGAACAATGCCAAGGTGTTGAACCGGTAGGTGGTTTGCCCTAAAGTGCTTCATGCATGCACTGGCGATTGTCATTGCCTCTCTCAGAACATCCAATCCATTTGACACATCCAGAAATTCGCGCCTAAATGCAACCAAAGCAGCCATTAGAATTTCCACGTCGTTGGTACAATATGACGCCAATGATTCGACCAGATTGAAAGACTCATCCTTGTGTTCTTCATACCATTTATCAAATTGAGCTCTCTTCTCGGGCATCATCCCATCAGCCAGATAGTCATCCTTCACCGGGAAAATTTCCTTACCATAATTTTCCGGCCTATTTACCAAGTGTGGGAAAAAAGGTTTGTCCTCTACACTAAGTGCAAAGGCAGGGACCAAGGAAGCAAGGGGCATGGGCATTAAATTAAAAGTGTCCCTAAAAATAACCCAATTATCTTTACCAAGTTTTACCTTCATTTCGTATAACTTATTACCTTTTTTAATCATTTCTGGGGTCAACCCTCTAAGAAACAATTCCTTAAACACTAGTACCATATCAAATCTACCCCCAAAGTGTGAGAAAGCAATCGTATCTGTTATTGATGACTTAATTAACCAAGAAACAAATGATGACAGTGGATCTACGATTATATTTTGTTGGTCAACCTTTGTATGATAAAAGGGTTTGTGTGAGAAGGTGATCGTACGGTACTCATCACATATGGAACATTTAGGGTTAGGTCCGTTATTGATACACTCGGGACAGTTTACTTTTACCCCTATAAAGTTAACCTCATGTATTTTACCCTTTTCCCCTTCACGGTGCTGCATGGTTTCAAAATCAAAGGCGATAATTCGGTACGCCTTTGGGGGTTTGATGAGAAGGGGCTTGATGTAACACCCACGCTTAGGATCGTGGTAGCTACCGCACGTTGTGCAATAGCGTTCGGAGCAAATATGACCCTCCCTTCCATTCCTATTATTATTCTTAACACCCCAGATAACCCCACATTTTTTACATTTCTTAGAGGAACTACAAAAATTCGAGGTGATATGGTGGGTGTAACAGTTTTCATTCTTAAAGTTTTTCTCACACCCTTTACAAAATTTTGAAAAATTATCTAAAGGTTTACATGGAAACCCTGGGCCAACCCTTGAACAGTTAAGACATCTAGATTTACACGAAATTGCATGGTTCAATTTCCTATTATAAACGCTTTCACAAGATAAACAGTAGGGTTGACCGAATAAGTCACTAACCTTGCGGACACCATCAAAGTGTTCCTTATTATAATACAAAATTATAGGGATATCAAAATTATCAGGCCCGTATTTATAAATAGGTTTTCCCCCCAAATCCCCGAATATATAAACTTTAAACCATCCTCTGTTCACTGTATTCCATAAGTCAACCACCCGTGGGACCCATTCTTCAGCGCAGTACACCTCTTGATTAAATTCAGATCCAATCTCTTCCATTAGCTCTAATACATCGTTTTCGAGAAGTTGTTTCATCCCCCTTCGACTATGGAGATAATCATAGAATTTCCATCTTGGCCAGGAAAATATTGCGTGAACAAAAGTAGCCATCAAAGCGTGGAAGAGACAGTAAGTATCAGTATTTCGTATTTTTATAAGGTTTTGTTCATTAATCCTATGATGAATTGTTTGTAGCTCTCTACCGCTACCATGCACGGTTCTAGAATTAAGTCCATCTCTTTGTATAGTTGTTATTGAAACAAGAAAAGGGGCCCCCCATAACATACCATTATCCTGTTTCTTACTCTGGGCAACCTTTAGGAATTGATTCAAAATTGAATCAATTGTGTTGGACGTGATTTCTCGAACCGGGATCCAAATGTCTGAGTCAAGGTTCTGACTCGAAATTATACACCCTAGCTGATCTGGTTCCATTTGTCGTTCATGATTTTCTAATAGAGATTGATCGATACAATACTCAAAAATCGAGCCTAGTAAACCTTCTGGATTATTGGAAACATTTGTGATTATGAATTTGGTTGATAACTTAAGAAGATTAAATTTTTGGGTAAACTTGGTCTCATGACCGAGTTTTTTAACATAGAAGTCAAGACTCTCAGTAGGGGTGATTTTAATTTTCTTGGGAGGGGTAGGTTGCATTTTTGAAAATAAAATTTAAAATGAAAAAATTAAATTTGATATAAGATATATGAAAGGAAATTTAATCAAAAATAAATGTTTGTTTTCAACAATAAAAATGAAATTTTAAGTTATAGCTAAATTAAATTTTCTATGAAGGCAGGCTATGGGTAAATAAGGTTATGAATGTGGTATTTGTAGGATTTGATCGTGAAGAAGCAGGCGTTGAACAGTAGAATGATATTTCAGGTCAAAAGAAGTCGCTTTTTATACTTCCGTTCTAGCTCCACCTATATTAGGTTATTCTCAAATTAAAACACAGTTGGATTTTTAGAGAAATTTCTTAACTAGGTTAAGATTTTTAATAATAACCTTGAAATTTTGACCTATTTATTGACTAATTTTATAATATTATATTCAACTAAATACATGAGTGAGTGATATTTTAATTAAGGGTCGAGAGGATAACACTATCACATATAGAGATTAACAATGTAGGCAAAGTGGGTTGGGTTGGATTAGATGAAGGAGATCAGGGACTAACCAGATAGTATGATCCAATTAGACTAACACTCACTGGTTTTTATACTATCTTAAGTTTGCATGACTAAATACTAAACACACCAGATAGCATTGGATTTTGCGTTTGTTCGAATTTTACTTAGAAAAGGAATATAAAAATGATAAAGAGATATTGAAATTATATATTTTATTAAAAAAAAAGATTATTTAAAATAAGAATTTTTATATTTATCTTTTAATAACCAATTTTATTCTTTATTTATTTCATTGTTTTTTCATCATTTCTTAAACCTACGTATTTACATAATTCAAGGACTCCTTTTTTTCCTTCAAATTGAATACAATAGAAATTTCAGTTTTGTAGGTTAACTCTTTGAATAGAAAGATCTTTCGATATGTAATACAATAAAGATTCTGAGCCTATTGAAAATTTTGATTGGTTTTAGGTCAATCTTTGAATAAAAAATTTCTTCGATAGAAATTTTAATCCTCTAAAAATTTGAGTTTTTTAGGTCAATCTTTGCATAGAAAAATCTTAGAATAAAAATTTTAAATTTTAGGTTAAATTTGAATAAGAAAAATACAAAAGAAAAATTTCAAAGTTCCTTTTTTTTCACTCTCACACTGAAAAGAATCTTAATAATTGAAATTTTTAGGCTAATCCTTTCCATATAAAGAAGAATAGAAATAATGACCTCAAATGATTAAAAATAAGTTTTATAAAAATTTACATAATTGGATTAGTAAAATAAAATTTTTAAATCTAACCATAAGGAAAAGGAGTCGACGAAAAGTAAGGAAAATAAAGGGACTTAATTTTAAAATTATTTATCTCTTTATCTATCTCCCGACTGCCTACGCTATTGCCCTTTTTCTCTGCCTACGGATACGTTGGTTTCACTACTCCGAAGAAAAAATATATGACCGAGTTAAACGCTATCTCCTAGATTTTTTGTGATATAATATATCCGAATAAAAAATATATGTCCTAGTTAAACGCTATCTCCTAGATTTTTTGTAATATAATATATCCGAATAAAAAATATATGTCCTAGTTAAACGCTATCTCCTAGATTTTTTGTAATATAATATATCCGAATAAAAAATATATGTCCAAGTTAAACGCTATCTCCTAGATTTTTTGTAATATAATATATCCGAATAAAAAATATAGAAAAAATATATGACCGAGTTAAACGCTATCTCCTAGATTTTTTGTACTATAATATATCCGAAGAAAAAATATATGTCCAAGTTAAACGCTATCTCCTAGATTTTTTGTAATATATGAATAAATATCCGAATAAAAAATATATGTCCTAGTTAAACGCTATCTCCTAGATTTTTTGTAATATAATATATCCGAATAAAAAATATATGTCCTAGTTAAACGCTATCTCCTAGATTTTTTGTAATATAATATATCCGAATAAAAAATATATGTCCAAGTTAAACGCTATCTCCTAGATTTTTTGTAATATAATATATCCGAATAAAAAATATATGTCCTAGTTAAACGCTATCTCCTAGATTTTTTGTAATATAATATATCCGAAGAAAAAATATATGTCCTAGTTAAACGCTATCTCCTAGATTTTTTGTAATATAATATATCCGAAGAAAAAATATATGTCCTAGTTAAACGCTATCTCCTAGATTTTTTGTAATATAATATATCCGAATAAAAAATATATGTCCTAGTTAAACGCTATCTCCTTGATTTTTTGTAATATAATATATCCGAATAAAAAATATATGTCCTAGTTAAACGCTATCTCCTAGATTTTTTGTAATATAATATATCCGAATAAAAAATATATGTCCAAGTTAAACGCTATCTCCTAGATTTTTTGTAATATAATATATCCGAATAAAAAATATATGTCCTAGTTAAACGCTATCTCCTAGATTTTTTGTAATATAATATATCGAATAAAAAATATATGTCCTAGTTAAACGCTATCTCCTAGATTTTTTGTAATATAATATATCCGAATAAAAAATATATGTCCTAGTTAAACGCTATCTCCTAGATTTTTTGTAATATAATATATCCGAATAAAAAATATATGTCCTAGTTAAACGCTATCTCCTAGATTTTTTGTAATATAATATATCCGAATAAAAAATATATGTCCTAGTTAAACGCTATCTCCTAGATTTTTTGTAATATAATATATCCGAATAAAAAATATAGAAAAAATATATGACCGAGTTAAACGCTATCTCCTAGATTTTTTGTACTATAATATATCCGAAGAAAAAATATATGTCCAAGTTAAACGCTATCTCCTAGATTTTTTGTAATATAATATATCCGAATAAAAAATATATGTCCTAGTTAAACGCTATCTCCTAGATTTTTTGTAATATAATATATCCGAATAAAAAATATATGTCCAAGTTAAACGCTATCTCCTAGATTTTTTGTAATATAATATATCCGAATAAAAAATATATGTCCTAGTTAAACGCTATCTCCTAGATTTTTTGTAATATAATATATCCGAATAAAAAATATAGAAAAAATATATGACCGAGTTAAACGCTATCTCCTAGATTTTTTGTACTATAATATATCCGAAGAAAAAATATATGTCCAAGTTAAACGCTATCTCCTAGATTTTTTGTAATATATGAATAAATATCCGAATAAAAAATATATGTCCTAGTTAAACGCTATCTCCTAGATTTTTTGTAATATAATATATCCGAATAAAAAATATATGTCCTAGTTAAACGCTATCTCCTAGATTTTTTGTAATATAATATATCCGAATAAAAAATATATGTCCAAGTTAAACGCTATCTCCTAGATTTTTTGTACTATAATATATCCGAAGAAAAAATATATGTCCAAGTTAAACGCTATCTCCTAGATTTTTTGTAATATAATATATCCGAATAAAAAATATATGTCCTAGTTAAACGCTATCTCCTAGATTTTTTGTAATATAATATATCCGAATAAAAAATATATGTCCTAGTTAAACGCTATCTCCTAGATTTTTTGTAATATAATATATCCGAATAAAAAATATATGTCCTAGTTAAACGCTATCTCCTAGATTTTTTGTAATATAATATATCCGAATAAAAAATATATGTCCTAGTTAAACGCTATCTCCTAGATTTTTTGTAATATAATATATCCGAAGAAAAAATATATGTCCTAGTTAAACGCTATCTCCTAGATTTTTTGTAATATAATATATCCGAAGAAAAAATATATGTCCTAGTTAAACGCTATCTCCTAGATTTTTTGTAATATAATATATCCGAAGAAAAAATATATGTCCTAGTTAAACGCTATCTCCTAGATTTTTTGTAATATAATATATCCGAAGAAAAAATATATGTCCTAGTTAAACGCTATCTCCTAGATTTTTTGTAATATAATATATCCGAAGAAAAAATATATGTCCTAGTTAAACGCTATCTCCTAGATTTTTTGTAATATAATATATCCGAAGAAAAAATATATGTCCTAGTTAAACGCTATCTCCTAGATTTTTTGTAATATAATATATCCGAAGAAAAAATATATGTCCTAGTTAAACGCTATCTCCTAGATTTTTTGTAATATAATATATCCGAAGAAAAAATATATGTCCTAGTTAAACGCTATCTCCTAGATTTTTTGTAATATAATATATCCGAATAAAAAATATATGTCCTAGTTAAACGCTATCTCCTAGATTTTTTGTAATATAATATATCCGAAGAAAAAATATATGTCCTAGTTAAACGCTATCTCCTAGATTTTTTGTAATATAATATATCCGAAGAAAAAATATATGTCCTAGTTAAACGCTATCTCCTAGATTTTTTGTAATATAATATATCCGAATAAAAAATATATGTCATAGTTAAACGCTATCTCCTAGATTTTTTGTAATATAATATATCCGAAGAAAAAATATATGTCCTAGTTAAACGCTATCTCCTAGATTTTTTGTAATATAATATATCCGAAGAAAAAATATATGTCCTAGTTAAACGCTATCTCCTAGATTTTTTGTAATATAATATATCCGAAGAAAAAATATATGTCCTAGTTAAACGCTATCTCCTAGATTTTTTGTAATATAATATATCCGAAGAAAAAATATATGTCCTAGTTAAACGCTATCTCCTAGATTTTTTGTAATATAATATATCCGAAGAAAAAATATATGTCCTAGTTAAACGCTATCTCCTAGATTTTTTGTAATATAATATATCCGAAGAAAAAATATATGTCCTAGTTAAACGCTATCTCCTAGATTTTTTGTAATATAATATATCCGAAGAAAAAATATATGTCCTAGTTAAACGCTATCTCCTAGATTTTTTGTAATATAATATATCCGAATAAAAAATATATGTCCTAGTTAAACGCTATCTCCTAGATTTTTTGTAATATAATATATCCGAAGAAAAAATATATGTCCTAGTTAAACGCTATCTCCTAGATTTTTTGTAATATAATATATCCGAAGAAAAAATATATGACCGAGTTAAACGCT